CCCTGCCCCATCCCCAGTGTATTCTAAACACTCAGAAAGTCTCACTGGCCTCTATTAGGGACCCGCGTCTCTGGGTAATGTCACCACTACAGTTTGGATAAGTGTTCTTCACAGGTCCATCTGAAGGCTTGATCCAGCCTGTGGTGGGACCTTCAGGAGGTCTATGGGGGAGGCATTCAGATCACGGGGGGGGGGGATTCCCTCGAAGGGGAGTTGGGGCTCCAGTGTCCTCCTTTCTTTCTTTGCTTCTTGGCCACCATGAGGTGAGAGTTTTCTCTTCCAGCCTTGCCTTAGGCCCTAAAACAACAGTCTCAAAACCTCCATATCCTGGGCCCAAATCCCCTTTCCTACTCAGAAGTTGACTGCCTCAGGGATTTTGTCTACTGCCAGGCATCTCCAAGAAGTCTGGTAGTGCCACACACAGCTAGACAGCCACTTGTACAGAGGGAACCTTCCTTGGTCCTGAGGAGAAAGTCCCAGAATACAGAGCCGAAGATGTGAGCCCAGAGGCTGCCTCACCCCGAGTAAGTCACAGCTAACAAACAGGCCCCAGAAGAATTCTCAGCCAGGGTGAAGGTGAGAAGACAACCCACACCCTTGCATTCTGGGTTCTGGGGAATGAACTCAGGTCTCAGTGACCCGACACTACCCACTGAGCTATCCCGCTGGCCCTGAGCACAGGCAGCTCTGAGGTGCACTCCTGGGACACAGTCACTCATGGGCCTGTAGGACGGTGTGAGAAGAAGCGAGTGCAGGGAAGGACACCTGGGGAGAGCAGCCAGGAGTTGCAGTCTAGCACTGGGGTGGATGTCACATGGCCTCTGCCAGGCTGCCGGCCCTGGCCCTGCCACCTGCCGGCCTGTGACCTGGCTCCCCAGTCTGTGCTTCAGTGAGCTCAGCTGTGGAACGGACAGCCACTCTAATCAGAGCTCTCTCCCAGGGCTGCTGATCACACAGGCTACTGTGTGCTGAGAGTTCAGCCCGTCTAGGTGTGGGGAGATACAGTTAATGCAAATGTGATTACTGCTGCTAGTGAAGGAGAACCTTCCAGATGGAGCCTACACGGGGGAGCGGGGGGGTAGGAGCAGAGATGGGAGAGCGCCCAGAGGGAACACAGGTTGGCTGGGTGTGTGAACTGCTGAGTGTGGCTGAGTGTGGAGCGGGCAGCAGTGATAGAGAAGGTTCTGGAAGGGGGACCATGGGTGGATCTTGGGCGTTCCTGAGAAGCCTGAGGCCTGTGCATAGGACAGCGGGCTCTGCAGGCACCTGGGATCTGCGGAGTTGTGTGTGTGTCGGGTGTGGGACTGGGCATGGGTGGGCTATAGGTGTCCAGTGGCCACGCCTCTAGCAGCTCACGTGTGGGGTTCACTCGCTGCTCATTTGTTCCAGGATTCAGAGACTTCAGCCTTCCCCAGCATCAAGCCAGTCAGCTCCAGCTCCACCTTGCATCCCAGCATCCCACAGCAGGCTTCCCGTAGATGCTGTGGAAACCCCAGGCACACCACTTCTGAAACAACACCTTTCTCTGTGTCGACTACCCTAGAGGTCCTCTCTGCAAGCTCCCTCTACGCGGTGCCTGCCATCTTTCGGGGTCTGTGTCCTCTCTATACAACACCGATGGGGAAGGGCACTGGATGGCCTTTCGGCAGTTTCTCGTCCGTGAAGCAGGGAGAGAGCCGCTACACCCACCTCCACCTCCAGGGGGTGCTGCTGAGAAATGAGGAAATGCTTGCACAAGCTCAGAGCATGACTGCTGCCCGACCACACCAACTCACACGCGGGTGACCTTGCTTGCTTCCCTAGTCCCAAGTCAATCTCCTGCCTAGGCTAAATACCTTGACATGCCAAGCAGTGGGGTGACGGACCCTGCCCATCTGGAGTTCATGCCCATTGTGGGGCTGGAAAGCAGACCCTGTGAAGCTCAAGGCCACAGAGAATCAGGTGTCCCACCCTCTACACAGCATCTCCCCTCCCCCCCCCCCCCCGTTCCTGTGCCTCGCACAACCTCAGGTTAGAGCTTACAGAGAGAAACCGGTCTTTGCCGAACGCGCGCATGCATCAGAGCTAGCTGCTTCCACACCTGTGATCTCATTTTAACCCCTTAACCACCCTTTGGGGTGAGTATAAAAAGTCCCATATTAGGCAGCGGCATGGAGAGGTTAGGTAAGTGGTGCACAGTGACAAAGCTGAATGCCTTGGTGTCCTTACTGGCAGGTCAGGAAAGGTGGGAAAGACAGTGGACACGGAGACCTCATTAGGCTACCAGAGAATCATGGGAAGTGGCCCGACTTTGCTTTCCCAAGCCCCGGTGTTTGGTGAGGTGGATTTTACAGCAATCTCTAACAGCAGACAGGATGTTGGGGTCCGGGATGCAAGAGGGGGGATGTCTTATGTGTGTCTGCCTGTTTGCCTGGTGTTGGCACTCCAGGGAGCTACCAGGAGCGCAGTACATCTCAGGTGGCCACTGTCCCTGCAACCTTCCAAGGACAAATACACACAGAAATGACCTAGATCTCGATAGCTGCTGGCAGCAAGGCCACTGACTTCACAGCCAGAACACGGTCTGGGGCAGATCAGTCAAACCACAGGCAGCCATGAGCTCCTGAGCAGACCTGTGGTGTACCCCTCTGAGTCTAGGGGTGCTTTGTATGCAGTGCCACCGTGACCCTAGCTGACTGATACACCCCCTTGCCTCTTTAGAGTGTGTGTGCTTTTACATAGACGATTTCACCACTTGGGAAGTCTACCCCACTTTTTCCTAAGAGAGATAAGCGGTGCAGAGAGATAAGCAGTGCAGAGAGACAAGCGGGGCAGTGATCGTTTGTATAAAGTAGCAACACTGAGCCCAGCAGTTGGGACTCAAAAAAGTCATAGGGGGTGGCAAAGAACTGAGGAAAGAGAGACAGAGTGGCTCTCTGGGGGCTCATCCAATAGTTCAGGCTGTCTGTCTGTTTATCTATCTATCTATCTATCTATCTATCTATCTATCTATCTATCTATCTATCTATCTATCTATCTATCTATCTATCTAATCTATCATCTATGGTACCCAAGAGAGGGAAGAATGTTTACAGAAAGAAATGTCCAACATCCTCCATCTTTACTAATTTTCACACTACTTCCCCGACGGCTCTTGCCTGACCTCTGACCTCAGTTTGGATTTTCTTGGTGAGCCAGAGCTGGCTGCCAGGCCCTTTTGTATGGTGGTTGCAGGTAAACCACCTGAAATAGGACCCCAGTGTCTCCCCACGGTTTGTACTGACTGGACATAAGCAGGGGAAGAAGGTTGCTACAAGCTAAAGGAGACGGGGTGGGGGGTTGGGGGGGGAGAGTGGGTGGGGTGGGAGAAGGGCTCCCGTGTGGGCCTTCTGTGGCCAATGCCAAGGGTGGTATATCCTCATTGCCTGTGACCAGGAAAACAGCTCCTGTTGTTAGTCTGATGGACCGACCACACTCCTGAGCTCTGGGACTTTTCCAGGACCCTTGGGTAATGCCAGTGCTGAAATGGATCCTGGCTTTTCCAGTTCTAGCTGATGGCAGACACCCCATCTTTCTTTAATCTTGCTTGTTGGGGAGCAATTTTGTCACATTCTTGGGCTGACCAAGGCGAGGAGCAGTGTGGATGAACAGAAACGGATGGATTGAGGCTTCCCATGACCATCCACTGGCTGGTTTGAAGGCTGGCCAGAACACTGTGTCGGCACCTCACTCGCTCCTCAGAACAGGGGTAGGGCCCTGGATTCTGTAACTGGGGGAGGGAAGCTCAGAGTGGCGCTCAGTGAGCGGTGGGAACAGTGGCTTCCACTCCAGCTCTTCCTTGCCTATCTATCCTACTGATAGGCAGGAGCTCGCTGACAGATCTTGCTCTTGTCTTCAGTGTCCTGCATGTATATGTGCCACCAGGAGTTAGAGGAGCAGGGAAACCTGTATTCCAGCAAGAGTGACATAACCCAGAATGCTTTGCAGCTCACTCCCCAAACAGCTTCCTCCCCCACAGCTTTTGCAGATGCATCTGAGCAGAGCTGGCATTGTGTCTGGCAGCTCTCGCCCACCAGCGGCAGCACCCTCCCCCCCGCCAGCCAGTGGCAGCCCCTGCCACAGCTCTCACCCGTCAGTGACAGCCCCCCCCCCCAAAGCTCTCATCCACCAGAGGCAGGCCCCTCAGACCTTCTGCTGCTTTACTGCAGAGAGAAGGAACACACTCCCCAGGGTATCTATGGTAGGTTGAATATGGCCTCCTAGAAGATTTGCTCAGATAGAATTTGTGAATAAGGTCCTTTTGAGAAAAGAGTCTACACAGGTGTAATTAAAGGTCTTGTGAGGGTCCTGAGTCAGAATGGGCCCGAAAGCCAATGGCCCTGTTCTTGGAAGAAGAGGAACAAGAAGCGATGCAATGGAGGATGGGAACAGAGACTGGAGCCAGGATCCCCAGTACAAGGATCACCAAGGGATGCCAATGGCTACCAAGCACCACTAAGGAATGCCAAGGGATGCTAAGGACTGCCAAGGACCACCTAGGAATACCAAGGGCCACTGAGGACATCCAAGGACTGCCCATGATCATTAGGAGGGGGACAAACACCACCAAGGACCAACAAGGGATGCCACGGAGTCCAGTGTTAGCAATATCCAAGGACCACGAAGGACAGCCAGGGACTGCTGAGGGATGCCAAGCCACTAGAAACTGGAAGAGACAATGGAGGCTCCTCCACCCAGGGCTTCACGGTGAATGTGGCCCTGCAGACCCCTTGAGTTTCTGCTTCTCACTGTCACTCCTATATAAGAACATGCATCAGAGCACAAGGACCACTGTCATCATGACGGGACGGCCTGGCATTCACGTACTCTAACGTATATACACAGAACTAACTCTCTTTCCATTTAAAGACTATTCATTTTCAGGACTGGGAATGGACTGTGGAAAACTCACAACCCCAGGCACAGAACCAGTGTCCTGGGGGCCAACTTGGGTATTTGTCTGTGACAATGAGTGGACTTACCTTGCTCCTGAGACATCTCTTGCAGACAGAAGTAGATGACTCTAGCTCCCAGGCTGAACCCAATCAAGGTGACAGGTCTCCGGCCCTGAGGGGAAACAGGACACAGGTGTCTGGGAAGGTTGCAGCAAGTTTAAACACACCAGTCCTGCAAACTCCTCAGCTCTTGCCTGTGTGAACAACATTCTGGTCTCCCACACTCTGAAGTGTCAAGTAGCAGAGTCAGGGTCCTCGCATACACAGGAGCTGACAGCTCTAGGGTTGGCTTTTTCAAGAGCGGGTGGCCTCTGGCTGGGCTAATTCCCTTTCATCTCAAACCATTATCATCCATGGCTCTTCTTCCCAGTGAGGGAGAATGAGTCAATTACAAGGACTCCCTCCCTTAGACTCATCTGCCCAAGGCAAAGGACCAGAGGGATGCGGGGTCCCTCTGAGGATGGAGAGAGTAGCCACAAGGTACACTGTGATGAGGAAAAAGCAGGAAGGATGGGAGGGAACATTTCTGGATAGAAAATGACAGGATACGGACTAGGAAGCCTGGAGGAAAGATGAGGGTGTGCTAAAGAAAAAGGAAATTGGGGAATGGGGTCCAGCTCTACACAGGAGGTGAAGGAGCAGGCAGTCAGAGCTGTTGATCATCTTAGTGTCTGTTCTCTCTCCATCCTGAGTCTTTCTAGGCACACAGCCTGAAAGGGAGCCTCTGGAAGTCCTCTGTAGCTAAGAGTGTTTGTTCACAGGGTGGGAGTTCTGGCCAGGGGACTGAAGACCAGGGACAGCTGTGACTTCTGGGAAATGCCTTTCATTTCTATGTTCTAACCTCTGAAAGTCTAGAATGTGCACACAATGTTGGCGGATGCCCTCAGGCACAGAGAGACATCAGTGTTTGGCACAAGAGGCCACAGGACTGAGGAGCCTGGGCTCCTGGAAGGCAGTGCAGTGATTTGGAGGAGAACAGCTCCCAGAGGCTCATATGCTTAAATGCTTGGTCCCCAGTCAGTGTAACTGTTTGGGAAGGACTGGGAGGTAGGGCTCTGTTGGAGGAGATGTGTCACTGGTGGTGGACTTCGAGATTTCAAAAGCCTACACCATTCCCAGTTAGCTCCCTTTGCCTCATGCTTGTAGATCGAGATGTGAGTCCTCCGCTACTACTTTAGCGCCATGACTGTCTGCCTGCCTAGACCTCTGGAACTGCGAACTTCAAATTAAATACTTTCTTTTATGTGTCCTTGGTCATGGTGTCTTGTCACAGCAATGGAAAAGGAACTAAGACAGAGTAAAAGTTTCTGCTGAGGTGTGCACATCCTAGGTCCCAGAACCTGTGAATGTCACCTAATTAATGTCCAGGACAGGGACCATGGTGGTTGGAATAGGAATGGTCCCCATAGACTCATGTATTTGACTTCTTGGCCCATAGGGAGTGGCACTATTAGAAGGTGTGGCCTGTTGGGGTAAGTGCGTCACTGTGGGGGTGGGCTTTGAGGTCTCATATGCTCAAGTTACACTCAGTGTGGCTCACAGTCTCCTGCTGCTTGCAGATGAAGAACTCTCAGCTCCTCTCCCACACCATGATGTCTATATGCTCCCATGCTTCTCCCCATGATAATGAACTAAACTTCCGAAACTGTAAGCCAGCCCCAATTAAATGTTTTCCTTTATAAGAGTTGCCGTTGTCACAGCGTCTCTTCACAGCCATAGAACAGTGACTAAGATAGAGACTTTGCAGATGCAGATGTGATCTAGTCAAGAATTTTAGCTGGGTGTAGTGGCTCATGCCTGTGACAGGTAGCTGGGGCTGGATGACTGCCAGGAGTGTGAAGCCATCCTGGGCTACGCTGTGAGTTCTAGTGCAGCCTGGGCTGCAGAGTGAGACACTGTCCCAACCAAAATCAAGCAAATAAATAAAGAGGGGTGCAGGAGGGAAAAGGAATCAGTAATCAGAGGGACGTAGGAGTCGGAGGGACCCAGGAGGAGGAGCAGACAGGTAGAAGCCTATGGATGTTCCAGATACCGTTAGCTTTGAAGATGGAGGAAGGGTGCCCGGCAGAGGAGGACAGAGGCCCCTGGGAGCCTGAGAAGGCTAAGCAATGGATGCTTCCTTGCAGTCTCCGGAAGGAAGGCAGCCTGTGGAGGTGCATCGGATGGGTGTCTGCCCTCCACACTGTGAGAGAGTATGCTGGCGAGTGAGCATGCTAACAGCTGTCAGTCACCTTCCTTGATTGTTGACACCCAGAACTGCTCCATGAGAGACGACAAAGTTCCACCTTGTTTAGCCAAAACAGTCTTGGTCTTTGCCTTTCAGCCAGGTCTGCTGAAGGGCTACTCTGGTTTTCCTTTTCATTTTGGGAGGGAAAGACACAGGGATTGGCTGGTGCTTAGCAGTTTCCCAGGCAACATTCCCAGGTTGGCAGAAACTGCTGGGTCTCTCAGTGTCTATTCTCCCCTTTGTCTGCAGTAATTGAATTTCAGCTGGCTGCATGCCTTTTCAGAATAAAGACTGAATTTCCTGGCTTTTTGGGCAGTGAAGTGTGAGCATGTGACTAGACTGGCCAAGGAGTAGGCACGGAGAGGCTGCATGGCCCCCTTCAGCTCTTCCTTTCTCCTGCCTCCTGGAGCTCAGGTACTGCCATCCTGGGGCAGGAAGTCAAGGCCACACCCAGGGTAGCAATGGTGTGGCCTTGACTTCCTGCTCAAGGCAAGAGGCCTCTCTCCCATGGTACATGCCATCAGAGTGTCTGACATTCACTGTGTGTGTGTGTTTGTGTATGAGTGTATACATGGATGTGTGTGTATGTCTGTGTATGTGTGCATACATGGTTGTGTATTTGTGTATACATGGGAGTGTGTGTGTGTGTGTGTGTGTGTGTGTGTGTGTGTGTGTGCTAGCCAGAGGTCAACACTGAGTGTCATGCCTCAGGAGCTGCCTACCTTGCCTTATGAGGCAGAGCCTCTCACTGGTGGAGGGAGGGTGGAAAGGGGTGTATTCTGATTTAGCTAGCCTTGGTGGGCAGTGAACCCCAGGGAGCCACTTGTTTCCACCTCCCCAGTGATGGGATTAAAGCTGTGCACCACCACTTCTGGTTTGTTTTGTTTTTAAATATAGGTTCTGGGGGCAAGCACTTTATCAAATTTCTCTGGCCCTGGATCCAAATTTTATTCTAAAGCTAGCCACCATAGCCTGGCTAAAGATATTTTTAAAAAAAGAATTATTTTTATTTGTGTGTATATGTGTATGTAGGCCACATGTGTGCAGGTGCCTGAAGAGGCTGGAAGAAGGGATAAGATTTCCTGGAGCTGCACTTATGGGTGGTTTTAAGTATCCTAGGATACTTTCCTGATTTCAACTTGAGTGGTAGCAAAGACGGACCTCACTCCCTCAAAGCTGCAAGACTGATTCCAAGCGACTTACTGTTGGGTTCCCATCATATACATGGTGTATGCATCGGTATACAAGCTTCCTCTGTCTGCCTCCCCTCCCACCCCACCTCCACCATTCCTGAGTACCTGCTGCCGGGAGAGGAGGATGTGTGCCAGGTGCTTGCCAACCTCTGCAGACCGGTGAAGACACACCCCCCAGGGGTTGTCGATGACGTTGGCAACACTGAGGAGGGAAGCCGGCCAAGTCAGGGCAGCCACGATACCTGGGGAGATGGGAGTCTGGAGATGAAGCGGGGGAGCCTTGCTGGGGTAGCATGGCTGATGGATGCTCTAGTAGACACATATGGAATCTGTTTAGCAGGAGTCTGAAGGGTTTCCTAGCACCAGGCTATGACTAGCATAGGGGGAGATTTGAAACAAACATTTCTGATACACAAACTGTATCTATTGCCCAAGCACACATCATTGTGAGATTCCAAAGACAGCCCCATCTACTCACCCCATCCAGTATCCTAGACCCACCATCCTGCCCTGCCCTTTGTGTAGGGCACAGAGAAGCAGCTTTGAGGATTGAACTAGCCTTGGCTGTAGGACTACCCATGCTGCACTTCTCCCATTGGTATGAGCTAGCTTGGTGTCTTCAAGAGGAGACACACATGGGACAGAGTCAAGCTGTTCAAGTTGCCTCAGGAAGCTGGTCTGAGTCAGGGGACAGTTGGCGGACCCACAGATCCATGAGCAGGCCCAGTTGAGATGGGTCAACTCCAGCTTTGCCTCTCCTGAGCTATTAGTGAAACGATTATTATGCCATGATCGTGGGGTGACTTGTTAAGCAACAAAGCCAATGGCTACATTATGCAATTGGTTGTTGCCTTGTCTCTTGGCACCAAAATCACAGACTTTTCACAGAGGAAGCTGAGGCAGGAGGATTGCAAGGTTAAGGTCTGCCTGGGTTACCAATGTGAGTTCAAGGTCAGCCTGGATAAATTTTATTAATCCTGCCTTGAGATTAAAAAGCAAACACAAACTTGGGGGCGGGGAAGAACATGATCAAAATATATTTAAATTTGAAAACTGTTTTAAATAATAATACAAACATTCTAGTTTAAGATTGAGATTGCTGCAGCCATTTGTCTTGTTTCCAAATGCACAATAAAACAGTGATGCTTTTCGCCCCCTCCACCCAAAACAAAAACAACAAAAAATGTATACAGGGTGCCGGAGAAGAGCTGATTGGTAGAATGATTGCTTGGCATGTATGAGATCCTAGGTTTGGTCTGCACCCTTTGTCTTTAGCATGATGCCAGGCTCCCTTGGGTCACAAGCATGCAAGAATTTGGTGCCACCATGTCATACCATGGCAGATCAGGAAAGGGTACTTACCAGAGAGCACAGTGTACTTGAGAGCCTCCTGGGCCACCATGTTAGCCAGGCCACTGAGGATGGTCTCCAGGGCATTGCCCAGCTCCATCAGGTACTTGGCTTCCCAGGCCAAGCAGTACTGCTCCTGGCTGCGGGCTAAGGCTGTCCATGGGGCGCTGAATGTGCCTGAAGAGAACATATATAGGTGTAGGCAGCATGGTCTATTGACTGTGGCAGAGGATGGCCCTCCCACTGAATCAGACAGACAGCAACAGGGGCCTTTTGCTCCTGAGGGTTTTCTCTGCCATCAACCAGCTGCAGTTAGTAGGGCAGATGAGCGTACTGCTGCCTACCCTATAAGTCCATCCAGAGATGGCTTCCAATCCTAACTCTTAACCTCATTATGAGCTAGGTGACCTTGGAAACATGACCATCTGACCTTGAACCTCACATTGTTCATCTATGAAGTGGGAAGATGTCAGGTGTTTGAATTACTCCGAGATAAAGGATTCCTTCCTCTTACCTGAGAGGCATTCCAACATCTATTTGCCAACACCCAGGGGGACTAGGACCTAGACTCCAGAAACACTAACTGGGAAATAATCTGGAAGTTGGAGGTCTAGAGTAGGAAGAGGCAGGATCACCCCATTGTTCTCAGCCTCTGTTTCCTCACCTAGAACATGGAAATGGGGAAATGACCTTGAATGAGGATGAGGAGAGAACATTACCACAGAGACCAAGACTCACCATGACCATCGGGTCCATCCTCCCCTCCCCATGGCCCTGTGTCTCCAGAGCCCAGCGGAATACCCGATCTGGCTGATCTGGCCTTGCCTGCCTGTTTCTGCCTTTGGCAGGACACACTTGAATCAGTTCCCTACTTTCTTCCTCTGGCCCTTGGGGTTCCAGCCCCAAGTTCCTGTCACTTGGTCTCTCTGCTATATTGTGCATTCTGTAAGAGCACAGAACATGGCAGTGTTGCCCCCCCCCATTGACTATTGAGGGCTTGGCTTGCTGTGGGGCACACTATAACCCTGATATTTAATAATACAGCTGGGTGACTGAATGATGGTGGGTAACCGGTGATAAATGGATGAAGAATGGGTAGTCTATAGTTCTTTGCTGGCTGGATGAATGAATGGCTGGCTAGATGGGTGAATTCTTATCTGGATAATGGGTAGTTGGGTGCACAGGTGGATGGATAGAAGATAGTTTCTCACCTCTCTGGACCTATTTTCCTCTATGAAATGAGCCGCCCACACCCACCCCTTAGAGACACACAGAAACAACCAGTTCAGGGTCCGGCCAATAGCTACAGACTCGGTTCCAGTCTAAGTCCCTGTCCACCCCTGGTCCTCACGGTATCTGCCGGACCCGAGCCAGCCAGTGATGGCGATGGTGATGTGTAGCTGCCTGCCTTCTGTCAGAGGCAGGAACATGAACTCCTCAATGGCCCCAACTCGCTTCTTCATCTTGTATCCTAAGGACATAGAAACAAGCAACTGTGGTCACGTATTCATACAGCAAGCACTGCCTCTCTGCTCCCGGACAAATGCATTTCATCTGTGAACTCTTTAAGACAGTTACTACTACTGTCCTGACTGGAGGACAGTAGGGCACTGCCCAAGGCCACCAGAGCCACACTAGGGTCTGAACTGTCACCATGTCCCGAGTTTCCTGTTGGTGATGTTGACTGTGATTCTCGGCAGTGTTCCACATGCCTGAGTGATTAGGGGCCAACGGCATGGGTGAGGCTGGAGGCTGAGGCAAGGACACCAGGAAGCTTCATGCCTCCAAGGGACGGTGCCTGTGTGCTTCTCTGGGTGTTGGCAATAGACTCAGCTGGACTCTTTCTCAGCAAGTACTCACAGGGTGCCCATGGGAAAAATTAGCTTGTCAAACTTTGTCCTGTCCCTGAGATCTGCTGTAAGCCTGGCTTGGTGGGACTCAGAAGGGACAAAGTTGCATTTCCTCACCCCCTGAGAAGTCATCTGGGGTCTCCTTTCGACTGAGTCATGCTGATAAAAATCCTTTCCAACAACTTTACCTGTCAGGCCAGCTCCGGCTGCACCGAACAATGAGGTCATGATAGCAATGCCAGCCACCGAGCCCAGTGCGGCTGCCCCAGCACTGCCGATGATTGTCGCAGCTCCTGCAGCAACAAGGGGGGCAGCTAGCCCCCCAGTCACACCTGCAGGGGAAGAGCTCAGTCAGGATTAAGGGGTTCTTCCCCCATGAGCTGCCCACTGCCTTCCGTGGAAGCTTGCAGCAATGCCTTTAAGTTATCTTTTATTTTTAGAGACATTCTCAAATCCCTCAGGGTGGCCTCAGTCACTCTAGGCAGTCAAGGATGACCTTGAACTCCTGATCCTTTTGCCTCTATCTTCAAGTGCTGGGATTACAAGCATGCACCACCATGCACAGGCAGCTTCTATCAGTGTTACTACTGAACTGTGTGCCTGTCACATGCTGGTGCCGCCTCCCCACTGATACACAGACCATGAGTTAACCCCCACAGCAGGTCTCACCAATCACTGTCCCGCCTCCAACTGTGGCCAGGCCTATCAGGAGATAGCGTTTCCACTTCCTCCGCTTTTCTTTCTTCTTCCGGGATGCCTCTGCGGTCCTGGAGAGAAGAGGCTGGTCTATAACTAGTTATGGGCCAGGATCCCTTGATATCACCAACCCCTAAACCCCAGATCAATGGTAGGCAGGCCCTGGACCATGAGTGGCTGAGGGAAATCTCAGTGAATGGGGCACACTACTTACCCAGTAGATCCATCCTAATGGGTGCAATTTAAATAATGAAAAGACAAGAATAATAATAGTAGTAATAATAATAGCAATAACAGCAAGAGAAGCATAGAATAGCTTTCACAGGACAGATGGACTCAGAATGAGTACAGTGTGTACCCCTATTTTGCCAGCAGAATCTACTACCCCTGGGGATTTTGGGAAACCCATCTCCTCCAGAGCAATTACTTGTGGGATGGGCTATTGAAACATCTGTATGGGTGATGGTGGCCTTGCGGCAACAGCTGGATTGGTCCAGACTCAAAACACAGATGCTATAAACCAAGCTAAAGGTAAAAAGGCATTTGCAATGACAGTGGCTGGGGTTTTTGTAATTTAGTTTTAGTTCTTTGAGAGAGGATCTCAAGGTCCCAGCAGGCCTTCAACTCTCTATGTAGCTGAGAATAACCTCGAACTTAGGGTCCTCCTGCCTCTATTTTCCAAGTGTTATAATTGTAGGCACACACCACCACACCCAGTTTATGCGGTACGGGCCTGGAGCCCAGGCTTTTGAGAATGCCAGGTGAGCACACACCAGCCCCTCTGAGAATGGCTGCCTCAGGTGCTCAGAGACAAGATGCTCAGATTCCCAGATGGATCTTTAGCCCCTGGTTGCTTTAAGGAGATCAGAGGCAAGGAGAGAGGTGGAGGGTGGGTGGAGAGGCCATTACGAGAGAACTTTGAACCGAAGCTGGAGTTTGGACAACTGAGTGTGGAGCGATCGTAAACGACGAGAAACAGTTAATATTTAGTGAGTGCTTCCTCTACATTAGCCTCCACACTGGGCACTTCCCATATTTTGCCAAGAAGCAGTTTATTGTGGTCCCACAGTCCGGATGGAGACAACAATGGTTATTCCAGAGGGTGTGTGTGTGTGTGTGTGTGTGTGTGTGTGTATGTGTGTGTGTGTGTGTGTGCGCGCGCGCGCGCGCGTGCATGCGCACGCTAAGAGAATGATTAAAATCTTTTAGGATGGGGGTTTATGTAGTATACACACATCCTTGGAGGTAATAGTGGCCATTGCTGCCATACAACATAGGTCTTCTGCAATATGAGGACAATAATACATATTTTTAAAAGAGAAATTTTTACTACATTAGTTTATTGTGTAGGGGTGTGTATGTGTAGGACTGAGGACAACATCTGGGAGTAGGCTGTCTTCTGCCACCATGTGGATCCTGGGGACAGCACTCAGGTCATCAGGCTTGGCAGCCAGCAGCTTTACTCACTGGACCATTACATTTGCCCAGTGATAAATTGTTTTTCGAGAATGAAGCTTAACTGTGCTATGGCTATTTAACCAACAAACATACTGCAAATGGACAATGCACTGCCCCATTGGGAGTCTGCATATCTGTGGGCTGAACCCCCAAGCCGCAATCCATGCTCAACCAACATCTGCACATCCTTCCTCATGAGCAGAATCAAGAAATGGATTTGCCTCAGGCACCAACGAGCTGGTGACCGGTTGGTGTCCCACCTGCACCAGATCCCCTCAACACACTCTTCTCCTGCCCTGGGTGGAAAGCAGACCCTCTCAGCTGCTTCCCTGCAGAGAGCCATAAACCAACGATAAGGATCTTTGCCTGCCATGGGTTTCTGTGATGAGACGGGGCATGCTCCCAGCAGGTGGACCGTGAGGTGTGATTAGGAGTGAGGGGGTCTGGTGTCAGGATCTAAACTGTGACATTCTGCAGTTGTCCCTCAGTATTGGTAGGGGTTGATTGTAGGTGTCCCAGAATGCACCAGCATCCACAGGGGCTCATGTCCCTTACATCTGTATACATTTGTATATGCCTTCTGCATATCTTCTTGAGTGCTTTAAAGATGTTTAGATTTCATGTAGCATACAATATAGCATGCTATGTGTTATGGTATTTGTACTGTTTATGTAAATTGACAAAGGAAATAAAGTACATTCAGTAAGACTTCATTTTTTAAAAATAATTATTTTAGGCTAGGCATAGTAGAACACACCTGAATCCCCAGAACTGAGGAAGTGGAGGCAGGAGGATCAGAAAATCAACCTTGTACAGCTTGGCTACTATAATGAAGTCCACGCCAGCCTGAGCTACATGACACCTTGTTAAAAAAATTAAAAAGAAAATTAAGCAAAACATTTTGTGGTTCATGGCTGGTTGACTTGGAGGGTGTAGAAATGTCATAGCTGAAGACTGCATCCCTGTGCTGTCAGCCGACGAGGCTGGCCAGCTTTCCTCAGTGCAACATGGGAGGGAACAACACTGTCATTTCTGGCAGAATCTTTAAAAGTCTGTGCAGGAGACTGACAGGTTTCCTTTCCTTCTAACTTGAGAGTGAAGGCATTCCAGACAGGTGCCAATCAATCCGTCAGCCTGGAGCTCAGAACCAAGACAATGTGGACGAGACCCAAGGCTGATCTGCCGTGGGCATTGAGCATGGAACAGCCCTTGGGACTGTAAGCCATGGGGCTTGGGGGCTGTTTGTTACAGGAGCAGAATCTCCCCACCTCACTGAGCGTGTGACTCCGTATAGGTTACACCCGAACCTCTTCAACGGCAAACATCCTGGGGGTGGGGTGGGGAGTGTTCCAAGGCCTGCATGAGATGCCTGGCCAAGGCGCCTGGCTTATTGTCACTGTTCAATATGTTTGCTGCTGTTATCATGTCTCTCCTGGCTATAATCATTTCCTTCTACACAGAGGTGGTAATATACTTTGATTCTCAATGGTATTCTTTGAACCTTAATGGCTTTGACCCTTCATTGATGACCCTTCCATTAATTGAAACAGAAGACCTGGAAATGACTGGCTTCTGGCGCAGCGGAAGGCCGGAGTGAAGCTCTCTAGTGGGTGACAACACACATTGGGGGCCAGAAGTGTGGCTTGGAGTCAGTGGCACCTCCACCCAACAGTCATGGACTAGGGAGCAGCTGGATGCTGAGAGAAGAGGTGTGGGGGTGGGGGCTGGAGGGCAGGGCAGCACTTCTGGCTCATCTTTCCCTAGATTCGACCCTCTGCAGTTTTCCCTGGGCACGGGAGGTGTTCAGGGTAGTTTTTTTTGGGGGGGGCATTCAAGACAGGGTTTCTCTGTGGCTCTGGAGGCTGTCCTGGAACTAGTTCTTGTAGACCAGGCTGGTCTCGAACTCACAGAGATCTGCCTGCCTCCGCCTCCCGAGTGCTGGGATTAGAGGTGTGCGCCGCCACCTCCCAGCAAAGGCTGGCTTCTTCTTTGGGTATGAGTACATATGTGTTTAGAAGAATGTGCCTGTTTACTGCACATGGAGGCCAGAGGTTGACATCACGTGTCCTTTCAATCGCTCTCCACTTTGTTTTTTGAGTCAGGGTCTCTCTGTGGACCTGCAGCTCACTGATGCAGTTACACTAGCTGGCCAGTGCATTCGTTTCAGGGATCTGCCTGCCTCCACCCAATCCCTATCCCAAGCCTGGGGCTATAGGCCCATGCTGCCACATCTGGCTTTTTCAAGTGGGTGCTGGGGATCTAACTCAGGTCCTCATGTTTGTACAGCAAACACTTTACCCATGGAGACATCCCCCAGCCCAGGACATGTTTCTCAAACAGAACCAATTATTCCAGTAAATGCTGACTGGTTTGCTTCAGTGATATAGCTCCCCTACCACTTATGAAAACCAGAGGGACACAGGGTAAATGAAAACGTGTGAGTGGAGTACAAGCCACTCACCAAGCAGTTAGAAACTTGCAGAATAAGACTACAAACGGGAAGTGTCCGAAAATATTTATGAGCTTGAGGCCACTCTGGTCTACATGGCAAGTTCCAGCCAGTCAGGGCTGTATAGCGAAGCCTTGTTTCAAGTAAAGAAATAAAATGTTCATAATTATTATTAATGTATTTTACTAAGAACCTAGTAAAGTTCCTAAGTTAGTGCCATTGACTTGGCACAGCTGGCTTGTTTACACAGTGACATCCATGTGATAATGGTACCAGATGGTCAGCAGGCTTAGCTGAGTCTGATGGAGTAGAATGACAACAGGACCACTAGGGTCCCTGAGGGCTATGTGACTCAAATGCATAAAGTTAGTACAACAGAGTAGTTGTGCAGAGACCACACACGAGATGCTCTGAGTGTGTGTGTGTGTGTGTGTGTGTGTGTGTGTGTTTGTCTCCATGTAGTTTGTGCATCAGATACATGCAATACCAGTGGAGGCCAGAAGAGGGAAACATATCTGGAACTGGAGTTACAGCTGGTTGGGAGCTGCCATGTGGGTGCTGGGAAATGAACCTGAGTCCTCTGGGAGAGCAGCTGGCGCTCTTAACTTCTGACCAAACTCCACAGCCATCTTTTGTTTCTTTTAAAAACAGAGTAAATGTTACTTCACTTTTTCAAGTTTTGATTAATTTTTACTGTATGTGTTTATGTATGTGTGTATGTTTATGTATGTGTATATAAACGGAGGCCAGAGGATAACTTGTGGGAATCAGTTATCTGCTTCCACCAGTGGGCTCCAGGGATCGAACTTAGGTTGTCAGGCTTGGTAGCAAGTGCCTTTACACGCCGAGCCATCTCGCCAGCCCCCAAGTAGGTATTTTCTTATTTACTTAGTGGAAGCTGTCTCTCTGACATTTACCTGCATGGCTTATTGGTTTCCGGATGTGCACCCATCTTAATCACTGCTTTCCCTGTAAAGTGAATAGTTTCCCTTGTCTCCGCTGATTATTGTAGCATTTTCCTCCTGCAAAGATGTCAGGTGTCCGTTGAATTTCAACATTGAGCACCCAAGGGGAGACACCTGCTGTGAGTCACAGCGAGGATACTTTCTTCCTTTTCCTTGGACGCTGAAATTCTGAGAACTCTAAATCTAAATGATGCCTTTGTTCCTGCCGTGGACTTTGCCATCTGATTAGACACAATGGCAGCCCACACCATCAGACAGTCTGTCGCTGGCCGCACTCACCCTCTGGAAGGCTAGGCATGAGCTTCAGTTGGTGTTTCCATGTCAGCCGAGGTCAGACTCCACACTGGCTGCAAACATGGCTCAGGAAGAGCAAGACACTGACCCTGTCCTCAGCATGGAGCCGTCCATCAAATGTGCCCAGAGGCACCTGATCTCCCGTGGCAGCGTGCTCTCTCTAGCAGCCTTGCTACCGTCTGTTGCCAGTGGAACTCTTGGCCCCACATACATTCTACCACTATGCTCGCTGGCCATCAGCTTAGCTCCGGGTTCAGTGGGGGACCCTATTCAAGGGAATAAGGTGGAGAGTGATAGGGTAGGACACCCAATGTCCTTGTCAGTCCTCATGCGTGTGTATGAGTGATTTACCTGCAAATGGTGTACACCTCCCTCCCCAAGCCTGCCCTGAAAGCCTTTTCTAGTTAAAGCTAGAAAGGAGGGCAACTGGTATTTGGAGTTGGGTCTCAAGAAAATAACACACAAGCCAAGTGTGTTGGCGCATGCCTTTAAGCCCAGCACTAGGGAGGCAGAGGTAGGCAGATCTCTGTGAGTTCAAGGTCGGTTTGGTCTATAGAGTGAGCTCCAGGATAGCCAGAGCTACACAGTGATACCCTGTCTTGGAAAAAAAAAGAGAAGAAAAGAAAGAAACAACACACAAGCTGGATGACATGGTTGAATCAGGATGCCATTGAACAGGTCATCCAGTTGGCTCCCCAAAGGATTGTACAAATCTCAGATGGGGCAGCTCCCTGGGCCAGCATCAGGAAGCACTCTGAGAGAGATGTTCTGGTAAGAGCTATGAAATCCAGACTTGTATCAGATGAGGGTCACCGAGGCCTGCAGCATACCAGGCACTGTCCCAAGTTTTTGATGTGAGGTAATTAATTTAATCCGCTTACAGAGTCTGGTATGGAACTCCCACTAGCCCCACACCAAGGCTGAAGAAACCAAGGCAAGGAGAGGTGAGGTCAGTCAATACACAGGGACATTGGGTGGCCTTAGCATTCAGGGGAGGACCACACACACTGGGGTGGCATGTCACATCCTGATTCCCACCTACAAAGAAGTGCCACAGGTAAGCTCACTTAAAAGACTTAGTATGAAAAGAAATGCCCATAGAATCCAGTCCCTTAACACAGAGGTGACAAACTCGTCCTAGTGCCCAGAGAAGGCAAGGAACCTACCCAAGCCCACACAGGGGAATCAAAGGAGACCCTGGTCTGAACACTTGCTCTCCTTTGGTCTCAAATCTACCTGGAGAATTTCAGAGCAGTCTTAAAACTCCACATTCAGATGTAATAGTAACATAACTGCAGCCCCACTGCTAACAGACAGAAAATGAGCTATATGGACCCATTACTGTTGGCTTCCTTTCTATTCCATAGGAAACCTAAGCAAAAGGTCTTGATTATTACTCCCATTTTACAAGTAAGGAAACTGAGGTTCAGAGAACTTCAATAACTTTCCCAAGATCATAAAGCTGGGGAAGTTTGGCGCTGGGCTGTGCCAGAACTTCCAATATCCACCTTCTCAGACTCTTTGATGTGGACAGAGTAAGAACAGTCAACCTCCCCCCCCCCACACACACTTTGAACCTAGCTGAAGAATGTGGTAATTGTTCTTGTGACAATGACCTGGTGATTAAGGTCATTGGCCCATGTCCAGCTGCTTGCTCCCTGGCATAGTTCTGAGCATCAAAACATAAATATTTTCAGATTATTTCTTGTGTGTGTGTGTGTGTGTGTGTGTGTGTGTAGGGGTAAGTGTGCATGTATGTGTGTGTATGGGACTAAGTGTGTGCATGCATGTGTATATGTGTGTATGGTCTAAGTGTGCACATGCATGCAATGCTTGTGTGTGTTTATGTGTGGTTGACAGCAAGTATCTTACTCGATCACTCTCCATCTGACTGTTTTTGAAACAGGGTCTCCCACTGATCCTGGAACTCCCCAACTAGCACTAGGGACTCTCTTGTCTCTACTTGCCCATAGCTAGAATACCAGGTATTCAGAGCCGTGCCCAGCTTTTACATGGGTGCTGGAGGCCTACTCTACTGACAGAACCATCTTCTCTACCTCCCTTTAGGTTATTTCAACAAACTACCTGAGCCTGTGGTGGCGCACACCTTCAATCCCAGCACTCAGGAGGTAGAAGCAGGAGGATCTCTGTGAATTTGAAGCCAGCCTGGTCGACATAGCAAGTTCCAGAACAGACCAGGACTACATAGAGAGACCTTCCTTAAAACAAAACAACCCACAAACCCCAAAAGCAAAACCCCAAACTACCCAAGAACCAAAATCAAAAACTACCCTTGCCACTGCCAACATCGTCTCCTTTTGTTCTGGAGGGAGATGGCTCTGCCTCTGACCTGGGCTTCAGATTTCTACCTTCCACTGGGTTGAACTGGTGTTAACTAGGGGATGAGGAGAAGTCCGTGCTGGGCTTCAGAGCCCGGCACCTGGTGCAGGAGGTCAGGACCAGGATGCTGCTGGGGTTGATTTACAATGCTGGGATTAGATGACGCCCAGAGCTGGGCTCCAGCCAAGTCACAAGGAAGATTTTCCTTTTCACATTCTTAGTGTATATATGGGTGGTGGCGGCAGGGTGCGTGTGTGTGTGCATGTGTGTGTGTGTGTGTGCCCTCGCGTGTACATGTATGTATGTTTTGTCAGAGGACAAATTCTGTTTGGCATTTCTCAGACACCACTTGCTATTCTTATTTTTAATTTTGAGGCAGGATTTCTCAGTGGCCTGAAACTCACCAATTTGACTAGGCTGGCTGACCAGCGAGTGCCAGGGATCCACCCATCTTTGCTTCCTGGGTGCTGGAATTACAAGTGACCAGCCTTTTCTGGTTCTGGTATCAACCTCAAATTCAGTGCTTGCAAGGCGAGCACTTTTGGAGCTATCTCCCCGCATCCCTTCACATCCCTGACCACACATACAGCACAGAGGTTTGTGAATGGGAGGGTTCACATCTGTTAGTCCTGGGCTGAGCATTTTCTGATAGGATCACATTCCTTTCTCCAATGACCCCGGGAGCACTATCCTTATAGCCACTTATATCCAGGGATACGTAGTTAGAGAAAGGAGGCCACCTGTCCACAGACAAGTAGCAGATGGTTCATGTGGGCCTACAGACAGTGTCATAACAGCTTGAGGTAGACTAGGGCATCAGGACTGTTGGATGGCAGTCATATATCCAGGGTCTTTAAAGAGAATCTCTTCTTGCAAACACAGCCAAGCCCAGAGGGTAGCAAGAAAGCAACTTTCTGAGGTCATACAGAAAGTAAGGGCCACTGGGACTCTGTCTAGTGCTCCTTCAACCTCACTGCATGGCCTCTACACAGGAAGGGGACCTGTGATGGGAAAAAACCCTTAAGTAGAATTCAGGTTTCTACCAGGGGTGCAAGGCTGTCTTACTCAGACTCCTCCTCTTTGGTGTCCCTCAGGCTCTCCAGGAATGCCTCTTCAAGTATATCAAGCTCCTCCGTGGGCACCTGGAGCAGGGAAGTCACATGGCAAACGAGGACTCTGGCCCGGGCATCGTAGTGTCCTTGAAAGGAAACAGAACGCCCAAAGAATCAGTTCAGATGTTAACCAGAGATGTCAGCGGTGGTGCAAATGCAAAACCCAAACCTGGAGGCAAAAAGAAGAGGCCCAGGGAAGCCAACCTTAGCGGTGGCTCTCAGCAGTTCCCACCTGCCTAGTGTCACTGTCCCCTGACCCAAGCACACCAGGCCACACATCCCTGTGTGCCTACAACACGCCAAGTAATGGCTTTGGCTCACATGATGCTCTGATTTCTAAGTAAATAGTAGTCTCTCACAGCATGTCTTCAGAATGCTAAGCTCTATGAATTTGTTTCCATTGCTGCAATAAATTGCCCAGGCATAATATTTTTCAAACAATTAATAATTAATTAGTTAATTAATTATGTGTGTGTGTGTGTGTGTGTGTGTGTGTGTGTGTGTGTGTAAGCCATGGCATATGTGTGGAGCTCAGAGGACAACTTGCCAGACTCAGTTCTCCTCTTCCACTATGTGGGCCCCAGGGATGGAACTTGGGTTTATCAGGCTTGTCAGCAAGTTCTTTTAACTGTGAAGCCATCTCACTGGCCCAGATGTAGTATCTTAAGGTAATGCAAGTTGATCATTTTACAGTGCTGTGGACACAGGTTCCAGATCAAGGTGACAGCTGGACTGTTTCAAGCAGTCAGGAAGGGTCTGTTCCCAGCCTTTGTGAGATCTTGTACATGGTGTGTGTGTGTGTGTGTGTGTGTGTCTGTGTGTTTATAAGAGAGGCAAAGGGAGGAATGTGTATGTATTCATATGTATTTGCGTACTCGTGTGTAGAGGTCAGAGGTCAACATGTTTTTCCTCTACCTCTTTTCACATTATCTTTTGGGACAGGTTCTCTCACGGAACCTGGAGCTTGCCAGTTTGGCTAGTCTGACCACCAGGTTCCAAGGATGGTCCTGTTTCTGCCCCACCCCCACCCCTAGTGCTGGGACTACAAGTATGTGCTGCAGGGACACCCCTGTTTCAGCCTCCCCAGTATGTGCCATTGCACATGGCTTTTATGCGAATGCTGGGGACTGAACTCAGGACAAACACTTTCGAGACTGAGCCATCTCTCAGTCATCAGGTTCTCAAACACACCCCACTCCTGTCTTTTTTTTTTTTTTTTTTTTGGTTTTTTGAGACAGGGTTTCTCTGTATTACTCTGGAGGCTGTCCTGGAACTCACTCTGTAGACCAGGCTGGCCTGGAACTCACAGAAATCCTCCTGCCTCTGCCTCCTGAGTGCTGGGATTAAAGGCATTCGTCACCAATGCCTGGCGCCCACTCCTGTCTTTATATAAGGTTTTGCTGTGTATCCTAGGCTGGCCTTGAGGTCACTAAGTCAATCAAGCTAGCTTTGAACTTTCAATCCTACTTCATTCAGTGACACTGCACAAGTCCTTACCCAGTTTCTAGAGGCCGCCCACAGTCCCTGGCTCTTGGCTACATTACTCTAACTTCTGCCTCCTCCAGGAACACTGGGACTCCATCGTGCCACTTGGATAGTCCAGAACCATCTCCCCATCTCAAAATGCTCAATCTGGACACAATTCCAAGGTCTTTTTGTCAAAGACTTTCTGTCAAAGTCAGAGGTTCCAGGGCTGAGGGTTGACACCTCTGAGGGGCACAGATTCTATTGAACTTTGAACCTTTAACTCAGGATAAGGCTCAGCTGCCACCTTTGTCTGGACCCTCTCCAGATCATACGTGTGCTGGGGCCTATGGTCACATACAGCCCCTCTCCTGGCATTCCTCTGTGTGACTGGCTTGCCTGTGTCAGGCTAGATGACACACTGACTCATCCAAATGTCCTAGTGTAGCATCTGCCTTCAGTAAGTTGCAACGTAAGATCTTAAAATCAGATTTGTTTTTCCAGAGAGTCACAGGACTTGACATTCAGCTGCTCAAGTCTCATGGGTCCTGTGGAGACACGAATACTCAGAAGTGCAGTTTTCGGTTCCTCCTGACAATCTGTGTTGTTTGAGAAACATGGCAGGGATGAGGGTTCTTGGCTGGGAATACAGTTCAGTGGTCCAGCTGATCTAACACGCACTGGGCTCCATCCTTAGTCATACACACACACACACACACACACACACACACACACACACACACACACACACACACACACACCCCAGTTCCTGCCTTGACTGGTGGGGGCAGGGAGCAGTCCTCAGAGCCCTCAGACATATACGTTGTAATGGAAGCTGCCTACGTGCCCAGGGAAAGACTAGTGTGTGTCACGTCTTGGGGTCACTGGGTTAACACAGACAAAGGCACTCCTTTTTCTTTGAATGGAAGCTTGTGACGCCCAGTGATAATCAGGTTGCAGAGAAGGTTTGGCCAGGGTGATTAATGGGTGGCGATTGTAATTAACTGGTAATGCATGCTCCATCGGTCAAGGTGATTCAGGCTGCCACGTGCATGGTGGTTAACAAGCAGGAGCAATGTCAGGCACAAGGCCCCTCTTCCTGGGAAGGGAAGCTTTTGGGAAGGGTCATCTTAAAGACTGGGGGCTGGGCAATGGGACTGGGAGCAGAACTTCTGTTCAAGGCAGCTGGGTGGCTCCTGGGTCCTGGACTATCTCAGGCAGTTTGGAGCAATTCTCTTACCAGCTTACCAGGGGCCAATTCAATTGTAAGAGGTGGCTCAGCCACCCATCCACTTTGGCCTGAGACCCTGGTCTCCAGCAGTGACTCTGTGGATTGTGACCCCTTCAAGGGTCCAACAACCCTTTCACAGGAGTCAGTATCAGATACCTTGCGAATCTGCTATTTATATATTACAATTCATAACAGTAGCAACATTACAATTAAGAAGTAGCAATGAGGGGGCAGGAGAGATGGCTCAGTAGTTAAGAGCACGCTGCTCTTCCAGAGTTCAGTTCCCAGCACCTACATGGCAGCTCACAATCTGATGTCCTCTTCTGGTCTACAGGCATACATGCAGACAAATGGCCTGTATACCTAAAAAAAAAGTAGTAAAAAATAGTTTTATGGTCAGGGGTCACCACAATATGAGGAACTGTATTAAAGGGTCGCAGCATTAGGAAGGTTGAGAACTGCTGTCTAGAGATCTCTAGTTCTCCCAGCCCAGCATCCAGGCCATCAGCTAAGGCCAGAGCTGAGTCTCCCAAGAACAGACTAAGCTTAGCACTTTGCTCCCCTGGCATGGCTGAAGCCATTGCTCTCCTGCCTTTAGTTATCCTGCTGACTTCTCTTTCATTCTGGCTCTACGCATTCTATTTGCCCCATGGTAGCCAGAGAGGTCCATTAAAACCTTCTATCAGATCAATTTCTGTCCCAGCTTAAAAGTCCAACAGCTCCCAATGTCTTTAGAAAAACACCCAATACTTGCCATGGCCTGCAAGACTGCCCATTCCCAGGTCCCCACCACAAGCTTCTCTAGTGTCCTCCGCCACCTGCCTGTGCGTGCTGACCCCAGGCCCTTTTTACCTGCATGCTGGCTGGCTGTCAAGCCCTCCCCCAGGGTGCTGCCAGGCTGGCCCTGGTCCACCAGTCAAGCTTCAACTTAGAGCATCAGCTCCTTGGAGAGGCCACTGGCTTCTCACCAAGAGCAGCCCAGCCTCAGCCACCCTGTTTCCCATATTCGTGTCAACTCTTGTCTGGCTCAGCCCATTAGAATGCTGGTCCCACAGGGCAGGGCTCTCTACCTGCTCCTGACTATGTCTGAATTAGTAGGTGCCCTCACTGACAGACCACAGTCTCCCTGGCCCACCAGGCTCTCTGCTGTGTCCATAGCCCCACATGACACAAAAGGCCTTTGCCACTTCTGCGTGTGTTATTATTATTATTTTCATTAACTCAGAGTCATTCCTTCCCAGGGGACAGGGTGGGTGGCACAGAGCATACCTGGCTAAGCCCCTCCCCCAAGCGCTTATTAGGAGCCAAGCTCTGATGATGCTTAGAACATTGTGGTTTATGCACAGCTCAGTTCTCCTCAGGGGTTACCTCCCCTGGGAAGCCCTTGTGGATGCCATGGCCTCTGTGGCCTCAGCAGCAGCTTCTCTACCATCCTCTACTTCCTGCCTGTGCGTGCTGACCTCAGGCCCTTTATACTTGATCCTATTGATCACCAATTGGACAGGCAGCTTTGGGGCTGGGGATGGAGCTCAGTTGCTAGCGTGCCTCCATAACACGCGTGCACGAAGCCCTGGCTTCCACCCTCAGCAGTGCATAAAGCAGGCCTGGTGGTGCATGCATGCCTGTAATCCTAGCTCTCGGGAGGTGGAGGCAGGAGGACCATCTTGGGACCTTGTCTCAAGCAAAAAATAAAAATAAATATGTTGGTAGTTCTGACTGTCTACTTTTTTAACTGTCTGTCTCCAGTTGCAAGATGTTTGGCTACACTGTTTATGTCACTGTAATGGGTTTAAATAAAAACCCGAGTGGCCAATAGCTAGGCAGGCTTCTCAGGCCCGGAGGATGCTGGGAAGAAGGTGGAGACACCAGGGATGAAGAGCAAGCAGCGTGTGCAGTACAAAGTAAAAGTAACGGAGCCAGGTAAAAGAACACAGATTAAAAGATATGGGCTAATTTAAGTTACAAGAGTTAAAGACAAACCTAAGCTATCAACTGAGCTTTCATGATTAGTAATAAATCCCTGTGTTGTGATTTGGGAGCTGTCTGGTGGGACAGGACAGACCAGCTACAGTTTCCCACTCTAGAATACAAGTTCCAAACCCACTGTGTACCTCTAATGCTGGGCCCTGCCTGGAACCAAGAGAGGCTTATACTCTACACGGATGAAGGAAGGACTCTGGAGGAATCGACAGACAGACCAATGTTGGGAGAGGCGCAGTTTTGGAATGTTAATTAGTCTAGATGACTTGGTTCTCCCTTCTGGCAGAAGCATCCCATGATTCGTGGGTCAATGAGATGGTTCAGTGGATAAGTGTGCTTGCCGCCATCTGGACAATCCTGAGTGCTGGATTACAGGAAGACACAACCAGATACTGTTCGTGATGACATGCT